TGCTGGCAGTGTGTGTAAAGCCCATGCTGCTGCTTACATAAGCCTACATCTGTGGCAGTGAAAAGCGGTAAGTGATAGATGACCTCATAATCCAATAAGGGGGCTTAAAAATAGGGAGGGTGAGGAGACAATCTTAACCTGTTGGTGCCGACAGTTCACAAATATGCGGCCTCTCAGTGGCTGGGCCTTGATGGTGAGCGGACGCATATTCACTTACCAAAAAGAGAACAAACATGCTAAGAGCGCGTGCCCTGTGAGCTCCCAGCGCATTTACCGGTGCCTCACGGAAAGGTCCCAATCACTACTTGCAATCGGGACCTTTCCAATCCTGTGGAGGAAAAGAAATTTAATCTCCAAACATGGAAAGGTTTCTTCACAGTGAGAGCTGTGAAAATGTGGAATAGACTCCCTCAACAGTTGGTTCTGGCCAGCTCAGTGGAATGCTTTAACCACTTGCCTACCAGGCACTTATACACCCTTATTTACCAGGCCAATTTTCAGCTTTCAGCGCTGCCGCACTTTGATTGACAATTGCGCGGTCATGCAACATTGTACCCATATGAAATTTTGATCATTTTTTTCTCACAAATAGAACTTTCTTTTGGTGGTATTTAATCGCCACTGGGCGCTTTACTTTTTGCGCTATAAATAAAAAATTGCCAAAAATTTGAAAAAAAAAAAGTTTCTTTGTTTCTATTATAAAATTTTTCAAACAGGTAATTTTTCTCCTTCACTGATGTGGGTTGATGAGGCAGCACTGATGGGTGGCACTGATGGGCACTGATAGGCAGCACTAAAGGGCACTGATAGGCAGTACTATTGAGGTGGCACGGATAGGCGGCACTGATAGACAGCACTAATGAGGTGTCACGGATAGGCGGCACTAATATGCAGCACTGATAGGCGGCACTGATAGGTGACACTGATGATGGGTACTGATAGACGGCACTGACTGGCATCACTGCTGGGCACTGACTGGCGGCACTGACTGGCACAACCGCTGGGCACTGACTGATAGCACTGACTGGCAGCACTGCTGGGCTGCACTGGTGGGTGGCACTGGTGGGTGGCACTGCTGGGCACAGGTGGGTGGCACTGGTGGGCACAGGTGGGGTGGGCACAGGTGGGTGGCACTGCTGGGCACAGGTAGGTGGCACTTCTGGGCACAGGTGTGTGACATTGCAGAGTGGCACAGGTGGGTGCACTGCTGGGCACAGGTGGGTGATCTGCTGGGCACAGGTGGGCGGAGCTAGTGGGCACACTGCTGGGCACAGGTGGGCGGAACTTGCGGGTGGCACTGCTGGGCTCCGATCATCAGGGCACTGATCATCAGTGCCCTGATGATCAGTGCCGATCCCTGCCCTGACAACTGCCGGTTCTCGGCAGTACTTTCCTCACGATCTGACAGCGTGAGGAAAGTGCAGCCGAGAACCGGCACTTGCATTTCCCTCTGATCAGCGTGTCATTGGACACCGCTGATCAGGTGGTAAAAGGCCGCTGTGATTGGCCTTTTACCACATCACGTGATCAGCTGTGTCCGTAGGACACAGCGATCACAGAGATCGCCGCGGGTGCGCGCCCCCTGGGGCGCGCAGGAGAGCGCGTTCTGGGGGGGACGTCATATGACGTCCGCTCAGAACTGGCCAGCCGCAGTGCAGCCGTCATTCGGCTATCTGCGGTCGGCAACAAGTTAAAAAAGGCCTGGATCCTTTCTTGGATACACAGAATATAACTGGTTACTATTATAGGTAAAGTTGATCCAAGGAATATCCGATTGCCTCTCGGGGGATCAGAAAGGACTTTTTTCCCCTGCAGGAGCAAACTGGATCATGCTTTGCTGGTTTTTTTTGCCTTCCTCTGGATCAGCTGTGGGTGTTGGATTATAACTTTTTTAATGGTTGAACAGCCAGACTAACTATGTAACTATGTGACTGCTGTGATTGTTTCATCTTTCACAAATATCGCAACACCCTCTGACAATAGTTAATTGATTTTCTCTACAGAAGGAATCTTTGTTCAGACATCATCATCAGCATTTACTTCTTGGACTGAGATGTCAGTTTAGAATTTACATAATTATGTCATGGTAAATCCTGGTGCCTGTGCAATTCTTAGCTGTATTTACAAATGTCTGACCCAGATCAGCTACAGGAGTATCTCATTTTGTGAATTGCTACAAACTTACAATGCAATGGGATTGATTTGCTAAAACTGGAAAGTGCAAAATCTGGTGCACAGAAACCAATCAGTTTCTAGTTTTTTTTGTCAAAACATTATTGAACAATATAAAATTAGAAGCTGATTGGCTACCAGGCACAGCTGCACCAGTGTTTGCAGTTTTAGTAAATCAGCCCCAATTTGTCTGTGAGAGAGAAGACTTGTAGAGAAAAGATGGAAGAAATGTGGATGGGGAATCCTCTCTGCTGAGCTTTGTATTCTGACAGCAGGGAGACTTCCTCATTGTTCCCCCATACTTAAAAAGCCCTCCCTGGACCCCAATGACCCGAACAACCTCAGACCCATCTCCCTGCTCCCATTTACATCCAAAACTCCTCGAGCGCCTCGTCTACACCCGCCTAAGCTCTCACCTCAACGACAACAACCTTCTCGACCCCCTACAGTCCGACTTCCGTCCCCTACACTCCACCGAAACTGCCTTACTCAAACTCTCTAACGACCTGCTAACCGCCAAAGCTAATGGCCACTATTCAGTGCTCCTACTCCTTGACCTCTCTGCAGCCTTCGACACAGTCGACCACCCCCTCCTCAAAAAACTACACTCCCTCGGCCTCAGAGATTCTGCTCTCTCCTGGCTCTCATCCTACCTGTCACAACGCTCTTTCAGCGTTAAATATAACGCTACCACCTCCCCCTCACTCCCCCCTCTGTTGGGGTCCCTCAAAGCTCCATCCTCGGGCCCCTTCTCTTCTCCATCTATACCTCCTCCCTTGGCCAACTCATACACTCTCACAGCTTCAACTACCACCTACTGTATATGCCAATGACACAAATCTATCTCTCAACCCCCCACCTCACCCCCTCAGTCTCCTCACACACCTACTGAGCGACATATCTGACTGGATGTCGCTCCACTTCCTTAAACTGAACCTCTCCAAGACCGAGTTTCTTGTCTTCCCCCCAGCCCGCACACCACCCCCCATTGACTTCTCCATCATGTCCAACAACGCCACCATCAAACCCGCCCCACAGGCCAGAGTACTTGGTGTCATTCTGGACTCCAACCTATCCTTCCAGCCCCAAGTCCAATCTTTAACAAGCTCGTGCAGACTCCACCTCCGCAACATCGCCAAAATATGCACGTTCCTAACCCCAGAAACCACTAAACGGCTCATCCACTCCCTCATCATATCACGACTCGACTACTGCAACTCCCTCCTCACTGGCCTGCCTCGCCGCTGACTATCCCCGCTTCAGTCAATCCTGAATACGGCAGCCAGACTCATTCACCTTTCCTACCACTCCATCTCCGCCCCCCCCCTCTGCCAATCCCTCCACTGGCTTCCGATTGCGCAACGGATCAAATTCAAAATCCTAACACTGACGTACAAAGCTGTCCACCATGCTGCCCCGAACTACATCACTGACCCAATATCCAAGTACCACCCAACACACACACTCCGCTCCTCACAAGACCTCCTTCTCTCTAGTTCCCTGGTCTCCTCCTCCCATGACCACCTCCAGGACTTCTCCAGGGTGTCACCCATCCTCTGGAACTCCCTGCCCCAACCCATCAGATTATCACCTACTCTCCTCTCCTTTAGGTGCACCCTGAAAACCCATCTCTTCAGGGAAGCCTACCCCACCCCCTGCTAACTTGCCGACCTCCTCCACTCTTCCTACCATTCCATCCTCCACAGCTATCTCCTCCTGTGCCTCCATCCCCTACCTCCTAGATTGTAAGCTCGAAAGAGCAGAGCCCTCGATCCCCTCATGTTTTGCATTGTATTGTTATTGTTCTGTCACATGTTCTGTCCCCCTTTGTAATGTACAGCGCTGAGCAAACTATCGGCGCTTTATAAATACTGTATAATAATAATAATTGTTGGAATACACTGATCAATGCTGCTGGCTATAGCCTGCGGCACTGATAGAGTGGGGAAAACCCAACAGGGCGGTTGTACACAGGTTGATCTACTAATCGACTTTTGTACAACTTCAGGGCCCATACATTGGTCAAAATTTGGCCAGTCCTTGTAGAACTGACTGCATTTCAATCTATGTATGGCTGCCTTTAAATTTACGGAAAGGTGCACTTTATTTGAGCTGGAGTACAAGCTATATGCCTCAGTTTTAATAATGCAAAGTGAATGCTTAAAAAAGTTACAAATATATTAATTTATTGTTACTATTAATCTTTATACAATGTTGTCAAAATATATTGCTCTGACAATAGCAGCATTGTATACAAGTGTGCAGAAACATGTTTTACATAGATATCCAGTACTGTATACACTGATGACTGAGATGTATTTCTCATGTTGTAAGGAAATCATTAACATTTATGTGGCTCTGAATAAACAGAAAATGTCTGCAGAGTAATAAAGTAAACCGATAGTTCAATGGTTTTAATTGTGACATTTTAGGATACATTCCCAGACATCAGAGGGTGTAATAGGTGGGCAAGCCCCTTCACCTTTTTATTTAAATTGCAGGTTTCCTTATGGAGACATAATCCTGGCATGCTGTACTAGATAATATGCAGACTGTTCCCATCAATACATTATTTGGGTTTTTGCATGTAATGTGCCCTCATTCTTCTAAACAGCTGCAATATTTAAGCCTCGGCCAGATCGCTGTATACTTGTCCACACATCAAAGACCATTAGGGTTTTACGGTGTAATTTGCCCAGGAAGGGAAGGTGTTTAGGCTGAACATGTAATATCCCCAGCTGTTAATGGACAATGTGATAACAAGCACTCCAATAATATTCAGCAAAAATCCTGCTTTTGCCTAGGAGAAGAAAACAAATCATGTTAGATATTGAACTTGCATGTTTTTGTTGTGCAAATATACCTTTAGTTATAAACTTGGCATCATAAGGTAAGTGAAATCACCAACACTTTGAATGGTATTCATGCACACAGCTTGGTCTATTATGCGTGTCAGAAGGGGTATGAATACCTTTTCAGGCAGGGGCGGACTGACCATTTGGAAACTCGGGCACTGCCCGAGGGCCCGGGGTCAGTAGGGGTCCCCATGAGATGCCCCTGGTACCTTTTTCATAGGCTTTTCTGAGTTTGGGCAAGGACACAGGGGCCCCATGATCCCCTATTGCCCAGGGGCCCCATGAGTTGTCAGTCCGCCCCTGTTTTCAGGGCATTGTAAGCCTGAGATTACAACAATGTGTATTTGTGTTTGAGACACTCCCTGAACCTCCTCCTCTGCCTTTCTGACATCTTTCTGATGGATCTTTCTAACTTGATAGCTATCCACAAGTGTTAGATAAGGATTGCAAAAAATTAAAGTAGTTTCTGGGGAATTCATTCCATTAAGGAAAAAATGACATCACTTTACTTCCTCTGATGTGGATACTTCCTTCAGCTGCTCAGAGGTGAAGTAGCAGAAAAGGTTTCTGAAAGATGGTAGGTTTTTGGTTTTTGTTACAGCCAAGGGGAAGAAAGTTTTGCAGGTATGCATGCACAATTTTAGTTAGCTATTCTACAGAGGTTGATTATAATGATAACCTGCGCTAAATGCATCACAAATAGTGAAACAGCAGCTGACAACATACAATAAAATGATAAAAACAGTGTGCAGCGTAAACGCCCCTGATGATGTCTTCTTATGACGAAACGCATAGGTTGGAGCTACAGCTTGTGACGTCATCACGCCATGCACATGCTGAGTACATTTAACGTTTGTAAGTGAAATATTTTTATTACATTTAAAAAAATTTTAAATACTACACTATGAAGAGTTCTTGTTCTCTTTACATACATACAATTGGGACCTTTTGATTATCCTTGTGGTTCTATACTGCATTTATGCCATCGAGTGAGTAGCAGTGGAAAAACTCTGGTAAAAAAGACCTGTTCTGGACTCCTTGCCTTCCAATATACTCTATATATGCTATTTTGACCTCATGACCTTTGATAATTTTTTCTGGTAGGAGGCTCTGAGTGTTGGTGGTGGAGGATCCCTTTCTCTCCTTTGTGGCACAGTTTCTTCCCATGGATATGGATTTTATATAACTTTTAGTCACACACCATGGTCTTATTTTGAGGACTTTATTTGACTATATATTTTTTATTATATGTTTGGGGGGTTTTTTATGTTGGGTGAACTTGCACTGCATACTGTTTTTATAATTCTACAGGGGTTGCATGAAAATTCTGCTTTAATTATATAGCACTGTAAAACTGAAGGACATGTTGGTGATACGTACCATATCCACAACCTTGAGCTGCCCATATGCAAAGGCTATAGCATTTGGTGGTGTGGCCACTGGTAGCATGAAGGCTAAAGAGGAGGAGAGTGTGCATGGAAGCATTATGTATAATGGATTCAGTTGTATTGCTTTTGCCTAAAAAAAAAAAACCAGAAAAAGAAGAATAAAGAGCAGTAGAGCACCGAGTTCAATTTATATCACTTTATATCACTTTACAGTGATACTGATGACTTCTAATTGGTTAACTGATATGCTATCTAATGTCTTCTTTAGCTTTGCAATTTTCCAATAAAATGGCTACATCCCCTCAGCCCTATAGCAGATATACTGCAACAGGGTGGCAGGGGTGTGCAAAATCAAGTATATATACGTGATTTTGCATTTACGGGTAGGGGGTACGCGCTGTTATTCGTGGCCACAGCTGTCAATCACCAGGTCCCTAACTACATTTAGATCTATAAAAGATGAACTTTGATTTAGTTTTCCACTGACCTTTCAGTTTGCAAACATGAATGAGTATCTAAAACCAAAGTTTTTTTATTTATTTTGGATGGAGTAGGGAATGTTCTCACAGCCCCTGTCAGATGTTTCTCCTGTCTCCTGCAGGGGAGATTTCACTTCTTTTCCTGTCCTGGAGACACAAGAGGAAGTGAACTTTCTCCATAATGAGAGGAAAAAAGGTGCCCCATTGGAAAAAGGTGCCCCATTGCCACATTTCCCTTCACTTACTGGTCCGGTGACAAATATAAGGCGGTTTGAGGTGCAAAATATGGTTCAACATAAAATCCTGTGGTTTTTCCCTGCTGGGAATAGAAGTGAATTGCTCTATGCAGCCTTACTCATGTATATGCCAACACTTTTGTGCACACGCATGTGCATATGATATATTTCTCCAACACAGAATTTCTGTGTTCAGGAAATATGTCATACACACCTGTGCAAGATAATATTTTGACTATATAGCCCATGTGCATGTCGCTTAAAGTGGATTTAAACTGATCAATACTCACCTTTCTAAAAGTTTCTTGCCTGTGCCTACATGTTCTCCAGTGTGCCAGTTATCAGCGGCTGGTGAGGGATGATGTCACTCCTGTGCATGTGCAGGATTTAGTCATACTGACACACAGGAATCAGGCCGGCTGTTGTAAGCGGAGCTGCACATGCACATTCCAGGAATCGCTGTGCGCTGTGGATATTTTTGCTCTTCTTCTGTGTACTAAAAATGCTTAATCTGATTTGACTGCACACTATGAGCTTCTCACAATATACATTAGAAGCTGCCGCAAGTCAAACACAGCCTGTCTCATTTCCTATCAGGACATCCAGCATTCCCAGCTCTTTCCTCCCCTGATGTACTGTCCCTAGTCTGCCTCTTTCTTTCATTGCTTTCAGTTCTTTTAATCATGAAGGCTCAGCATTACACATAGGCATTACCTTGGGCTGTCTGCATATAAGTCTGCCTATCAATGCCCAATAAACACCAACTCCATACTAACACCTGCCCCTAAAGGCATTTCGATATTTGCATAACTCCTCCCAACAGACAGCCCACTGTTTCTCATAGGGCTTATGACTTTTGAAAGGAGTAATGTCATGTTTTTAGGAAGCTACGTACCATGCCAGTACCTCCCACCAGCTATGATCTGTCTGCTTTTCATAGAGACTCACAGAGACCTTGTGATGACATCACATTTTATTAGCATGTTGGTGGGGGAGAAAGGAAGGTCCAGGGAAGGCAAAATATAAGCAGATTCAACTTGAGGTGTAGACTATCCCAGTTTCTAAAAAATCACTGCTTTAAAATATCCAGAATAAACAATAATAATAATAACTTCATGTTATACACATTCTACCCTGAGCCTGCTATATAAAATAACTGGTTGTGCTAGTATAACAGAAATTTCATATCAAATATTTATACAAATGGAAATACTCTATGGCAACATGGGATGCCCACCTATTAAGAGTAGTCCAGCTGCAGAATGATCTTGCTAGGTAGGGCTTGTTAATTTTTAGAGCCCTGTGTGGGCTAGAGGGGGGTGGGCCTGCCCATCCTAATTCTTTGTTCCAACACCACCTATGTAGTGTCCACAGTTTTTACAAGCAGGCTATACCTGGGAAAATCTAAATATTTAGCAGAAGTCCTCAAGCCAATGGGTGACGAAGCCTGGGTGCCAGACACATCCATACAAATCTGTGACCTCTATCTGTCTGGTACCAAAAATTAGTTTCTACTTTCTACAAGTGATAATGGAAGCGTTGTGTTATTCTTTATTTGGAGATCTGGATGTATCAGAATTTCCCAGTTACAATAGTAACAAATTTAAATGAATCTGAAATAACAATATTACATTTTGTCCGAAATAATGAATTATCCAAATCTGAATCGAATTTGAAAACAATTTTGAAATGTAAACATATTGCTGACTATTGCTGATTTCCTTCAAAGACTGTGTATATTAGTGTTATTAGTGTTAGAATATAGCTGTCTTCCGAAATTTGAATTTCGAAAAGATTAGAGTAACAATAGAATAGAAATTAAAGATTACAATATAATAGAAAATATAGGAATAGAAAAGAATAGAATAGAAAAACAAAGATTACAATAAAAAATAAATAGAATAGAAAGAATATAGCTGTTTTCTGAAATTCGAATTTCAAAATAAAATGAACTAGAATTGAAAAGAATAGAATAAAACAGAATAGAATATAATAAAATAGAATAGAAAATAAAATGAAAGAATAGAATAGAAAGAATATAGCCTTTTTCTGAAAATAAATATATAGTTGTCTTTCGAAATTCAAATTTCAAAAAGAACAGAAGAAAATAGAACAGAATTAAACTGAATAGAATAGAAACTAATATAGAATAAAAGAATAGAATATATTAACACAGAATAGAGAATAGAATAGAACAGAAAAAAATTGAATAAATAGAAAAATAGACTAGATTAGAAAAGAGTAAAATATAGAAAGAATATTGCCATCTTCCAAAATTTGAATTTCGAAATTCGAATTTTGAGTAGAATAGAATAAAATAGAATATAGCCATCTTCCTAAATTCAGATTATGAAAAAACACAATAGAATATAAAAGAATAGAAAATAAAGGAATAAAATAGAATATAAAAGAATAGAATAGAAATTAAAAAAGTAAAATAGAAAAAAAAAATATTAGAATGGAATAGAGTAAAATAGAATAGAAAGTCTTCCGAAATTCGAATTTTGAATAGAATAGAACCGTCTATTCTTCACAATGATCGATTCAATATTTTCGATTCAATTAAATTTTAATACTAAGAAGAATCCAACAAACAAAATCCTACTCCCTCTACATCCACATCCCTCACCTCCAATAGGAACAAACTCCGTATACTCCTACTGCACAACTACGACCTTAACCTACAAAAAACAAAAGCACGATTCTACTCTCTAGCCAATAAAGCAAACTCACTCTTAAACAAAACAATTAAACAAAAACGTCTTAAAGCTAAAATCTCTTCCATCCAACACCCTACAACACAATCCTTCCTCACGAACCCGCAAGATACAGCCAATGCGTTTGCTGACTACTACACTACACTATATAACATCAAAGATGATCCAAATACAACTCAACCAACATTCACCGCAATACAAACATTTTTAAACAATACGAATCTTCCCCATCTTACACCAGCACAACTCGAGTCAATATCTACCCCAATATCCCCTTTGAAAATAGAAAAATAGGAAATAGAAAAAAACCATTCAATCATTGCCTCTCAACAAATCCCCGGGTACTGATGGCTTTACTAACAAATTTTATAGAACCGTTGCCCCGACATTGGCTCCATATCTCTCTACTCTTTTTAACCACGTGGCCTCCATGGGTACATTTCCAAAAGAAATGTTACAATCCAT